CTCGCCATATGCCATTCTCCGTCACTGCGGCTCGAGTATAGATTCACTCAGGAATCAATAGGTGTGAAAATGCGATTCTCACGTGGCATATCAAAAGAAAAGGAGGCGTTCACCGGGAGAGGTGTATTTGAAGTCTGATGTTTCGGGTAATCGTATCTTCTACCCATCTTCAGAGATTGAGAAATCATGCACGCAACTCTTCTTTTATGGCGCACTTTGTTTGATGTCTGGCCCGCCAATGCCGCCTTTGTGGCTGCATCCGAACCGCATGTCACCGTGCCCCATCTTCCTCGGCCGCGACGATAATTGACGACCCGATTTTCCCACGCCGTGACTGTCCCCCGTCAAGAATGACCGCAAAGCCAGATAGGGGAAGGCAAATTGATGTGACGGTTGACAGAACAGGCTGTACACATGCAGGCTTTTTGCACCAGCCTTGCCGTATGATCATAACCTCGACCCATAATTTCAACGGTGTCATAGTTGAAGACGTGTCCCATTTGGGCAGCATGGTTTGCTACCTCCGACTATGGGGCCAACCTTCGCACGGCCAACTTATGCTCGTGCATGCGCGTTTGCAGTCGTCGACCAGGTTCCCCCACGTAGTTGCACATCCCGCAGCTGCATTGAAGTCGGTAGTCAACAGCCGACATCTCCTGTTCAGGGATCGGGTCTTTTAAGCATATCATTTGTCGCGGATTGTTGAGTCGGGCCTGTGGTCAACGCCTATTCCGAGCGGCGTGAAGGATCCGGCTACGGCTCCGGTGACCCTTTTAATGTATGGAATGTTCCGCCACGATTTTCGCTGACTAGGTTCTTCATTCCGTTTCCTTGGTTGCTTTAGGCTCCGTTCTGCGAATGTTCGCCGATAGCCGTTGGCACTGAAGAGTTCTTGGAGGAGCTTCATCTCGTCCAGCTTGGCGACTGGAGTGCTGCAATGAGTTTTCACCCGTCGGTATAGTGCGCGTACGCAGCTTCCCCTGTGTTGCAGTGGTTGGTTGTTGTTGAAACTGAGCATTTACAACTTGTCCGTCGGTTTTCTGTAGACTGAAGTTGCCAGTTTGACGTCTGGTTGGCGGCAGACGAGAACATCTAAAAGTAAAAGTTTGCCTTCCACTTATTCTACCATCGTGAACTGTAGGTCTGGAATGATTGAGTTCAGGAATTCTTCATAGTAGTTAATTTTATCCTGATCGATAATTACGAAGGTATCATCAACGTAGCGCGCCCAAAACTTGGGTTTGTATTCCCCGTACAGTCGTTCCTCCAGTTTTTGCAGAACGGCGTCGGCAATGAGTCCGGAGATTAGTAAACCCATCGAAGTGCCCTTAATTTGCTCATATGTGATCCCCTCGAACGTAAAAAATGTCTTGAGGCAGTATCCCACTAGCTCTATAAGATCGTGAGCTGTGGGCTGACCATCACTCCCGTCGTAATTCTGACGTAACAGGTCACTGAGCGTCTCGAACGCAAGAGTCTGTGGTATGGATGTGAAGAGATAGACGACGTCAAATGACACCATTCTCTCATTCAGTTCGATTTTGACCGTCCTCATTTTGTCGAGGAATTGCTCTGCTGAGCGCACTGTCGTTTCTGAGACCCGGGTGGGGAATCTTAGCTTCTGAAACAGCCAATTTGCGAGCCCGTATGTGGGTATGCCTCGGTGTGAGACGATTGGTTGGAGGGAAACATCTGGCTTGTGTACCTTTGAGAGGCCGTAGAATCTTGCCGTCGGTGCTTCTGTGGGTTTTCCCATTTACCATTAAGGAAGGCTGTGTGCATGACTTATCGATCTCTGAAGATGGAAAAAAACGACTACCCGAAACGTCAGACCTCGAATACACTTCTCCCGGTTGACGCCTCCTTCCCTCAAAAATCTTCACACACCGATCTACTGGCTTCTCGGGCTAATAAACTTCCTATGGGCGATAGTTGTCACGAACAGGCAACCACGTATCAGGCCAAAGTCGGCAAGACTCTACTGTCTCCCCTCTGCTATCATAGCTTGTCCGGCTTCGGCCTTACATATAATCGCCTGTTCGTGACCCCTCTCGCACTTACCAAGCTTGTTTATTTCGAAAAGCAAATGAATTCGTGTGCAAACATTTCTGACTCTGCCGGTTGGGCCCTAGAGAGAACTGGTGACTTCCGTAATAAAGATCGATGAGTTTCATTCCACCATTGTATTTTCCCGATCGAAACCGACAGGACAACGAGCCCGTGGCTTAGTGGTTAAAGACGCTGGATTTTTAACTAACAGGTCGCGGGATCGAGCCTCAGGTGTTCCACACTTCGAAGTTGCGTATGACTAACTAAAGACGGCTATTCAACCAGAACTGTCCATTCCAGTCTCCCTTGTGTCCTGCTTATATACATACATTGACAAAGAAATGGGCTCATGCCAATTTATTGGCTTTCCGAAGCACAAAAGCTTCGTATAGGTGACAGGAGTCTTGAGCAGACAACCACCTACCTGGCGGAAGTAAACCAAGCCATGATAGCAGTGGAGAGACGACCGAGTCTGGGAGATAGATTAAAACGAAACTGTTTCCGACTCGTATGTTTACATTATGCCAGTCACAAATTTGATCGCCAGATTTGACCGGAAACAGAAACTGGCGCTCGTACACGACGCAGATTCCAGCAAATGAGCAGGTTCATCAGAAAATTGCCATCAGCCGTTTACCATTGCTACAGATCACATGTTTATTAGCTCAGAAGGGGGCTCACGTCAATTTTTGGCTTTCTGAAGGATGCAAATGGCCTATGGGTTTTCGAGTGTGAATGCGAAGCATCAGGCTAACAAGGCTTTCGTCTCGAGACTCACTTCTACTTTTTATCAACTACTTTCGGAAACGCATCCTTGCTTGTATCGGCAAGTTTCTATATGCTATTAAAGACAGGGCAAAATGGGTTTTTTACATCTTGCAATGACTGTAGTCCTCATTAACCATTTCAGAAGCATCATGGGTGGGTGTATTGATTAAATGCTCGGGGAATGGATATTGTACAGTCTGATAAAGCTCCTAACAATAAACTTTAAAACCGGAATATACTCTTCCGTCAGGCATAAAATTTGAGAAAGTCGCAATTTGCTAAAGACGAAGTAAAAGAAAGGATATTTTTTGCACGCTGTCCAAATAATATACTTGGATTCAAATAGTATCACAAATCGATGCTCGTACTAACTTGGCAACCATTTTTATGTAATATTTTGTACTCAGGCGGCCTATAAGAAGCTCATTCGACGGCGGTATCCTGGCGGGACTGTAATGTCTTACCATTTTGCGACGCGATAACTAATACGGCAACCCTACTTCAGTAATCTTCTCTAATTTATACACACTTTGGAATTTAAGCCAATATCTCATGAGATCTTATACGTCTGTATATTCAAACAATGGTACTTTCCTATGAGTGCCTGGGAGGTTTTGAATCTGTATTACTATCCGTCAGTGAAGCGGTTTTGGCGATTTTATAACCGTTTATCAAGGTGGTAATTAGGGGGTCCAGTGAGTTGCACTATGATCCGAGATTGTACGTCTGCTTTGGGCGCCTTTAGAAACTGAGGATCATCGACTAGGTGTCATCAGAACACATGAGCTTCAATCGCGCAAGCTTATTTACCTTCCGTAATGCCCTGACCTTCTTTTTGTTGGGTGTGCAGCGAGCGGTGCGTAGGGCATAAAGGCCAACGTCATGGGACTCGTACTAAGCGACATGTGCTACCCACCTGTCCCTCATGTTTAAGCAAACCCTTGAATGTGGCGGCCGCTTCAATTAGGACAGTGCTGAAGATAACGCCATGGCTAACACCAAACAAGCGCGAGAATTCTTTAAAGCTTGGCCTTCTAACACGACAAGAATCCATCGACCGCCGTGTCGATCTGAGCGCTCACTACCATGTTTACTTACATGGGTCAATGACTTTTGCCAACGTCCTAACAATAACTGTCGTGTAGAATCCCACCCTCTCGCCAACCCCCCCCCCCACCGACATAAAGAAACAACCGAAACTCCTAACACCTCGAACCTCACGCCACATCAACAACCTTTAATCCGACAGCCCGCATTTCACTGATCCGTGAGCAACACCCCTGTCAACCCCTTTCCAGAATAAAGGCCTCAATTACATGACCTCCTCTCCCTCGCCGTTCCAAAACCTATATTTCAGTTCCCCCCACTCACACACTCCGACTGCTTGCTTTTGGCGATCGTAACATGCCGGCGGGCGGACAGAATGCATCGAGTGTGATCTTAACCACAACAGTGACGGTCACGCACTTGTTTGACATATTTTTATACCACACGTTGCAAGGCATATGACCCACTGATGATCAGTACCGACTGTGGACGCAGACAGCTGTTTCACGGTCGTTACTTATCATCAGTATGGCATGCGCCATATGAAGTGAGACATATAAATACGTGAAGAAGGCGTTTAACTCTCAGTGTTGCGGTTAAGGTTATGCTCGACCCCACTCTGTCAGCCCACCAGCAAGCCGCGAACACTGTGTTTGTCCTCCAAAGATGCTTTCAAAATCAACATTGAAACTACAACGCGTTGGTTTAGCGTGTGTGATCGCTGCAGCTGCTATCTTATTATCGTCTTGTCACTATAATCAACCGAGTGTACGTTAGAAATATTACGATTGGCTAACCGACCTGGTTTTGAAAATTACCAACTGATATAAATACCTTGTCTTCCATTGAACGGGATGTGAGCGTTCATCACTTCTCATTGGACGAACCAGGGTTGCGCTTCGTCGTTTGTGACAGCCGAATTATCGGGTTCGCACTGCAGCCAGCATTCGGAAACACAAATGGCCACCTTCGCGAATAAATCAAATCCGTTTTGCGTCGTGAAAAGCAGGTAGAACAGTTGTTATATAAGTGAGCTGTTCGCAATGTAATTATCTGCTTAACTGATGAAAGGATTGTGTTTCTGGTAGGTTTCCGGCAAGCAGAACTTTATTGAAGCAGACGGAGTGAAATTGCATATGTCCGAGTTGTGCTTCCAGGTTGCCTACCCCGTGAGGGGTAAGCTGTGCAATCATGTAAAAATTTTTTTCGACCTACAGTGCAGCTGCGGTAATTTATAATGTTTCACGACACACGAAATAGGTAAACGACTTGAATTCATCTGGACTGCTTTCGATGCTGCATATTGTTCTTTGGAGAAATGGGGCTTGGACGGGTTGACAATAACGTTATATGGAAGCCGACAGATACGTAGAGTTACGATGAGTAGGGCTCAGGAAACATCCACTTTGTGCAACATCCTCAGTCTTATTATAGTCTTTTAGTCAAACTACTTCAAAACGAGCGGTAGTATAAGTGGATGGAGTAGTGGACTTGGCGTAGGCTTCGTTTACGCGCCGCGCAACATGATCGTTTCCAGCCCACTTTAGGGAACACTAACGTACTCACTGATATATGAAATACATCGGTTACCTCCCTTTATTTTACGCCGTCAGTCTAGCTGTCTATAAGGATGTGGGCGCTATGCAGAATTAGGTGGAAGATGGCTTAACGCGAAGTAGCCATCATGTGCAACAGAACACTCAGACGACGGCCGGACTAGCAACGTGTACCTCCTGCGTTAGTTTCCATTACACCATTGACCAGGTTTTACACCGTCGAAGAACGCATACAGGTGGTGTGTTTCATCCGAATAGGTCAATCAGTACCAATTAATCCTGCCATGTATGTTTGTTGTGCATTCCTGTCGAGACGGAACGCTTCAGACAGGATAGACCATCGCGAGAGAGAAAACTAATCAGTAAATAAATCGGGATTTGCTAGCTGTACACAGACTTCAACACATCCCTTTCATCTGGTCTTTTACCGTCAGTACCGGCATCACAAACTCTACCAAGCTAGGCCTTACGTGCTTGTCTGTTCCTTTTTAAAGCCGACCACCCCAAGCAAAGTAAACCCTGGCTCTACCAGCTTGTCAACTACGTTCTGGCGCCTTTCATTCTCTCGAAGTGGGTTCGGCCTCTCCTCTTCATCATCTTGCTCGGCTGGATCTGCTTCTGCATTGCGATCATTCCCAATGGTATTGTAATCGGGCTGGACCAGGAACTCTCAATGCCGCTTGACTCCTATGTCCTTTCGTACTTTAAGGATGTAGCCAAGCTGCTTGCTGTCGGTCCTCCTGTCTACTTTGTTGTGACCGAGGGTCACGCCTATGACAGTCTCAGCGGACAAAATCAAGTCTGCGGCCGCGTAGACTGCTACAACAACTCCCTTGTGGGGACGGTGAAGATGCGCATCGCTGAGGGTGATAGGCAAGTGCTTACTACTTATGGAATCTAAATGGTTTCTCTTTTCCCACGACACGGGACATGATCCACTGCAGAGGCACATTCTACTCCACCTTTGCCTCCTTTGTTGAGGCGCAAAACGAGGATAATCCCATAGCACCAGACATAAGTCCGACATGAAGGCGGAGTTGTAATGTGATCAATCATGCATCTAGGGACGAAGAATCCGTCTTGCAGTTTGTGAGTAAATATTCCGCGATTTTGTGGATGTTTTTACGCATAGTCGGTCAAATGTTGGCTGAAGTGGATCAGAAAAGTGGCAAAGTCTAAGGAAACAGCCATTCAGTCAGGCGTTATCGAAGCGCTCTTAATCTCAATCAACTAATCATCTGTAGTGCCGGTAATGGGCTTTTGTCTGATGGCAATTTCGAATTATCGGGCAAGCATTAGTCGATGCGCACGAATTGTTACTTCCTGATAAAAGGGTTTCTTTCGGTTTTAGAAAGGGTATTTGATTGTGGAGTAATTTTTGAATCCAACCAGGAATTTCAATTGGGCTACGGCTTTTAAGTATTTACCCTATATAATAATTTTGTAAGTATAATCATACATTTCCTCATGCCTTAAGGAAGACGTCATATAATGCTCAGGAAATTAATTAATAAATGTAGACCATGTGGTATCCTTTGTTAAAAGAATTAGTGTACGGACTGATAAGACGATGCAGAAATGGACATTTCATACTCTTAATATATCTCATAATTAGAAGTGGTCCTAAAAGGAAAGCGCTGTCCTGACGTGTTCATTATTAAAGGAACATAATAGTTTACCAAATGAGCATAAAAAGTATGTTTATGCATGTCTTTCATGAAACAAATAGCTGATTTCAAACAATTCATCATGAGGAAACTGGGGAAAACTCAGTGCCATGGTTAGAGTTGAACCCAGGATAGCAAGGGGAGGCTCTACTATAGTTAACGGTCTAACTACCTGGGCTACGAGGTCCCACCGGACGACGCGAGTTTAATCACATTTCGGTGGTGGTGCCTCGTAAATCACATGGCTAGATCGTTAGCTGTACTAAAGCCTCCCCTTGCTCCCGTAGGTTCGAATCCCACCGAAACACCGAGTTGTTTACAGTTGGGTCAAAGTGAAATACCTATCAGTTAAACAGAGATGTCCAACTGAGTCCGCCTTCTAAAAGCGGCTGTAAAGAACTGAATTTGAAAGCCGGCATCAACACGTGACTTAAATATCTTTAGATTATTCTGCATGCCAATCAATATTCCTGTCTCACTTAAGTAACCCTTCTTCACCAGAAACACATTTTATGTTTTTGATCAGCATTTTATGCGATCAGTCATTGACCGTCGCTGCTTTCCTCCCTTTCATGATTGCATGACACGTTTGAATCAGCACTTCGTTTAAAGTTCGTATCTCTATTTCGTACTATACATTGGAATCCAAGGCCATAGATAGACAGACGAACACCATGTAATTGGTCGTCAAATTGTTCTCACGTTAAATGCCATCTCAGCTAAGAATATGCAACGTCATAGCTAACAACTGAACAAGTAACAGGGATGGATGTGGCCGCAGACAATATAGGCAGCTGCACTGTCCCGAATGTTGCTAATTGTAACGCACCGCTTGCGGCGGATGATTGTTTTGGTATTAGCGTATCAATTTCGTAATCTCCTACTTTGTGATGGGTTGTCGTTACAGCCGAATTTCATAAATACCGCTCACCTATGTTGGCATTTTGTGTCTAAAACTAGTGGCAATTGGATAGGTGATACCCAATAACGGTTACAACATGGCATGTGTACATGCTGAACAGTCTTGTTTATGTATTATTGTCCATTTTCTTCCCTATTGTATGTCCTATTGGGCATATGTTTTTTTCTGGCGGTTACTACACCCTTCGTTTAATCATCTCTGACCCACCTTACTTTCTGCTTCAGCTCTCGCATTTCAGAGCCATTGCTATCATGGATTGATGACTATAGCATATGGAGCAGCGATCCGGAATGCTGTGGAGTGCTTGACGACCGGCTCACCTTCTGCGATCCCGATACTGCGACATGTAATGCCTGTCCCGTTACTAACAATCGAATAACTGGTGAGGCATTCAGTCGACTGCTTCCCAACTTTTTGAGCCGAATACCTAATGAGAAGTGCGCCTCCGGGTAAGTATTTCCTTAATTAAAGGACGCGTCTTGAAGGCTTTTTGCATTACCTATTGATGTGTTCCCATCCAGTATGAGTGAGCGAAAGGGGCTTTTTCATCGGCAGTTCCTTAAGCTCGGTTTTACCTTTGGGATATAATAGTACTGAAAAAAATAGTTATATTAACAGTCCGAAAGTCGCTCCAGCTGCATTTCATTTCACGTTAATCTTTTCGCTGTGCTGTGGAATAAGAGCGATCCCCGTCGTGTTTGATAGACGAAATGTCGGGTTAGGTGAGGCCCCGCAGACTGCCGACTGAGGAGTTAAAAATCTGTGGTGATGAAAGTTATCTCCTTATTCTTCGACTGAGCTGCATCTAATTCTCAGTTCATACGATTTTTACGAGATTGTGTTATGAGGCGTATGGGAGCAAACGCTACCTTCGGCGATGATGGTCCTTTGATAGTATTTGCGCTCATATGTCCTTAGCAAGCTGTGGGCCTCAGTGAAACACACCAATCGGACCGAAAGTTCCACAGAATATCCTCCTATCGGGCTTATGGAACATTGCGGACCTATCACTTCGGCTACTCACATTTTGCCATCAAGTGCTTAGTGAACGTATTCAGGACATGCTTCTGTTCAGTTAATTTTTATTTTAGAAATTTTGGTTGGCCGTTTGTGAATTCTCTAGTGATTACACAATGTCTAATAAAACGAAGATACGAAATTAGCTGTCGGGCGGCCAAGTAAAAATAAACATGAACGTTTACTCATTCATTGCAAGTAGTGTACTTAAATGTAAGCTCGGTGATCGGCGATGTTAGTGTGCGTCTGCGGTCTTCTTGACTCTGTCTTGACACCGGGCCCAGACGAGGGAAGAGGAGAGAGTGTAAGTAGATGCGGCGCAAGTCTACTGGCACTATAAACCCCTGCGCAAGTCATCGTCCCTGCTCCCACCGTTGCAGCTGCAGCTGTGGGGTACACGGTGGACATCGTCGAAATCGACGGTCGAACTGTCGTGTGAGAAGCTTAATGTGGGTCGAGTTTGCACTTAAATTAATTTATGTGGGAGAGGACAATGTCAGTAGAAAGAGAGCTCTACGTTGTAACCTCTGTTTCTTAAGAAGAACCTACGTCTATTGCTCCTTTTCATCTATGTGCAGTTTTGGATAGTGTCCGTGGAAATTGGGCATTTTGCTCGAACGAAAAGATCACTTGGGACAAGGTAACAGTCCGGGACATTCATGAAATGGATGGTTAGTACGAGACTACCCCGTAGTTGCGTGTAGGAGAGGGGAATAGTGCTGGGGGTTTACAGTCGACCTACAAAGGACATTGCTCCCAGATCTTTGGCCACATTTTGCCGGCCTCTGGACCTTCGCTAAGATGGTACTGTCCTTGGAAGTCCTGGATCTCAATACTTGTTTGGCGTACTTTAGATGTGGTCGCGCAAGGGTTCTACTGTTTTGGAGAAACTGCCTTTGTCAGACTCCATTAAGGCTCGCCTGTTGAGTTGCAATATATGCATTATCGACTTGGCCGCCTTGGCGTAGTTTAGTATTCGTTTGAGTGAAGATGCGATGCCCTTATCCAAAGGCCTTTTGACTGTCAACTTGTTGCATTGATGTGACCTTTAGCAAGAACGTTATGGGACTGGAGACTCATCCGCCGACAAGAGGAAGAAAGTTGCACTTACTTGCGCTGAAGGGCATAAACCGGCTCTTTGACCAGTCTTCGAGCCTTTTCGAGTTTATTCGCAGATTGTCTCCTTCTGGCCCAGTGCGAACAAATTCCCACAATTTCATGTCCTTAGCCAACAAGATAACACTACAGTCTAGTTCACTGACGCAGGCATTGTTCCAAACAAAGAACAGCATGGGGCCTTAAACTGAGTCATGCAGATCGCCACTCCCCACGGTAACCTTTGAGCCTGCCGGAGTCCGACTTGCACTCCTTAAGACTGTCCAATCAAAAGGTTCTGAATCCATACAGGGAGGCTATCACAAACTCCTACGTTGCGCAATTTGTGAAGAGGGCATTTGTGAAAGTCAGTGCGGAAGATGTGCCTTCGTCGCGTGCTTTCTTCCGGAGTTCTAGTAAAAGGAGCAAATTCGTAAGACAGGGCCTACCACTTCGAAAGCCGTATTATGCGCCAAAAAGGGGGAGATTCTTTTTCAGGAACTGATAGTTTTTTACTTGATTTTGCAACAAGTGGATGTAAGGGTCCGTGACATGTAGTGATTCACAGCATTGAGACATCAACTGTTGCATATAGCGGGGTGCTGGTTGCTGACTTCCAGTCTAAGGGCAAGCGCCTAGTAGCCAATGTCGCCTGGAGGAGTAAGACTAGCGGTTTTATTATTTTAAAACCCAGTTCTTTCACAGCCTGTTTAAGAGGCGTTCTGGGACTCTTTAGATAGTCCGTTCGGATGTATTTTACTTGATTCGTCCGATCACGTTATTCTGGCACAGACTCTTCACATTAGTTACGCAGTAAATACTGTGATCTCGCACACTTTCAAAGGCCCATAGTTTTGTCACTGTGAGCCTTATCTTCTGCTTTTTCTTCCTAGGGGAAAGGCGCAGTTTGGGGATGCAGTGGCGCTGGAAGATAGCGCCAGCGGCCAGTCCAAGAGGGTGGTAAGTTCGCACATCATGGCACACCACTCGGTTTTGAAGACCACGCCGGACTTCATCGACGCCATTCGAAAGGCGCGCGAGGTCACCGATGCTTTCGGCGCCCAGTGGGCCAGAGAGGACAATGGCAGCGAAACCTCTCAGACGTCCGCACCTCCGCTGAATAGTGTTTTCCCCTACAGGTTACTCGTCTGCTCTGCTATTACAACCTCCCACTTGCCGGTGTTCATTGAGTTTGACTATTCGCCCTATGCATTTATTGACAGCTATTTTTTTCTAATCTGATGCAGTTCAAATTAGCGCGTGAGTATTTAGAGGTTCCACCGCGGATGTGATTGGCCGAAAATAGTCAAAAGAAAAGAATGTGTACTCAATACTATCAATTGCACAACCACCGTAGCTGCTGGCAAGACATTCTGTAGAGATTTAACAGGCACAAACACGACACTCCTGCCACAACTGCTCGTCGAGCTGTCTCCCATAATTGATGGACTTGACAATTTGTTTTCCACTGAATCGTCTAGATATTACCCATATATGCTGAAATCCTTACTCTGGGATGCTACGTCCCCATGCATCCTCTTTACGATATGTAACACCGCCCCGCCGGGGCCAGAAATTGTGGACTTACAAGAGTTTCACCAGACTGGACAAGTTGGCGACATGACGTAACCGGCTTACCCTCCATGGTCACACCTTTGAATTCATCATGGGTAGCAATCGGGAGATGGCACCCGAAAAATCCGTTACCTAGAAATAATACCTTTAACAGTGGACTCAAACGCCTTCAGGCTATATCAGCGGTTGCAGGCCTACTTTCACGCACTACTTGGACTTTCCCGCCAGCCTAACATGTGCTGGCCGAACGAACATCGCAGGAGGTTACATGGACGATGGTGGCTGTTACCCAACCTTCCCCATCGTTACACATGTACACCTGAATATACGGCATACATTCGCATTATGGCAGTTTATTACAAGACAAAATCACTTTTAAATAGGATAACTCTGCACAACATGGGACAGGAAAAGTTTCCAGGCATCTGTCAAAGACATGGCATTGAGACCAAACCAAAGACGATAGTGTACTTCGTCTATGTGAGCCCACACAGCTCGACCACATACAGGACCTCCCTCGTAGAGTTTCCTTTTCAGTCTACTCCAGTATGCCTCAATGGCATAGGTGTGCTGTCCGGTGGTTGGGTCCTTGAAGTTCTTTGAGTGGTTAACATAGAAATCCAGATAACCTTCTGAGGGAAGACGAATATACTCCTTCCACGCGTCCGTTATCACTATACTTCCTTTGGCGACCCATTTTCTAATAACGGAACGGAGAGCGGGCCAACTTCGATCATTCACCTGTTCAAATAAGGCTTTCCGTCGGCTATTATCGTACATCCCGACCAGCCACCACCCATAAAATCCCTATTACCACCTGTCCCGTAAAACAGGCATCTTTGGTTAGGCGGATTTTTTGGGTGCCATCTCCCGATTGTTACCTCATCATGCTGTCTAAAAGATAGATTGTATACATAGTGACTGAGTAATGTCGTAAAACAAAAAGATAAGACCTGTTTCTTACTGGTTTGAATGAAACTTTTAATCGCATTGACGCTTGTGTAAGTTCACCTGGAGCCATACAGGTGTTTACCAAATCCAGTGTTACGTTTTATTCTCGCTACTGAATTCAGACTGTTAGAAGTGGCAATATGTGTGCACACAAAGACGTGCTGATAACGTCATTAACACCTCTGGGCCAGAATGTAGCTTTCTCACACCTAAATCATTTCACTTTTTATTGCCGAGGCTTCACTTTAAGCTGCGGACTAACACCTTTTGTCTTGTATTCGTTTGAGCTGGAAGGGCTAGTCGTGCTATTCGTTGTCCTTACTAACTTGACGCAATAATTTTCATTATACTTTTTTTAGCATATTCTACGTATTCTATGAGCAGTACTTAACAGTGGCAAGGGAGACGGCTGTTCAGCTGGGCTTGAGCCTGGCTGCTGTCACTGTCATCACTTGGATCATGCTGGGGCTGGACGTGGTGGCAACTCTGAACACGGTCCTCGGAGTAACCTCAATCCTCGTCAGCGTCATGGGCATAATGGTGTTGTGGGGCATTTCCTTAAACGCCATATCATTGGTCAATTTAGTAGTGGTAGGTGGCAATTTCTCTTTTTTCTTAACTCGAAAGATGATGGTTGGCATAGGTCAACGTTTTTAATTTGCATGTGAATTCGAAACTGCTTTCCACCTCTTTATTGCAACATTCAATCCGATTTTTTACATGCACTGTGTCATTTCGCAAGTCTGATGTTTGAAAATATGTTTCGCGACATCTCTCAATATCGGACAAACAGGAGATTTAGGTTTTACCGAGAAAGGGATGCGAAATGTGTTTAATTTGAGATGTCTGTCTATCACGATGTCCGCCATCTTGTTCGCCTCGTGACGTTAGCTCAGAGAAGCAACTACCTTGTCATGTTTATGACCGATTGTAGATGAGGGACTCAGGAAAACTATTAGCTTGCGTTACACGCCTCTTCGTTTTTTATGTTACTTGACTGCTGTGACTCAATTTTATAGTTGGTTTCCCTCTAGAATAAGGGGGTAGATTTTGAGTACAGTTGAGGTTGACGCTTTTTCAACGAGTTTGGGGTATTCTTTAAGCGCAGGACAAGTAGGGGCTTTGAAGGTCGTCCCGTCTCCAGGTTTGGAACTTACGTCTGTTGACATTAGGCAGGCAGTGAGGTTGGCGTAATTCACTTCCCCGTCCGTTAGCCATTGCTGTCTTTTAGTTTCCTCAAAGTTATTGTTTATTTTGAGAGATGAACGATTGGGAAGCATCTCTATCACGCATTTTTGCTTGGCTATCAATGAGGCATTCGACAACGACCGGTTGAAGTCGGCTGTTGGGCAGACACCGCTTCGCGTATTCCCCCACACACTTCTCATTACTTCCGAACGTCTCCAGCTCTGAACGACAAAATGAGGAGTACTGGCTGAATATCAGAATGCTGTTTCGAATTATGGCGCTAAGAGTCACAATGTTACTTGGTTCTGTGTGAGATGTCGTCAGGGCGTACGTAAACCGAAAGATGATCAGATGTTTTATCCTGTTACATGATCTATGTAGCATGTATTTGCAAGTGTGCTGGAAGTACATTTTTATGTTTTCGGGTAAAAGGATACCTCAATAGCAGCCTGTACACGCATGTTTCGCCAATATTCTGCCGCTGCATTGCACAGCTGCGAGGGGTTCGACTTATCAGTGGGTCCACCAGCATTCCCCGACTGCATTTTGTTAGTTAGCCCAATTTAGAATTTCGTTGTGTTTTAATATCCTTAGAAATTTTCTGCGAACTTGGAGTTGATCAGTATATTCTAGGGTCTATATGCGTAGACCTGAATTCGATGTATGAATATCTGGCCTGAATTCATCAGTATCAGCGAAATATTCGTTAACTTTCGACAAACAGCTAATGGTATATTTTAGGGTAAGATAATACCATACTAGCAGCACAGGTACTACATAAAGGCCTATACACTCGTGTCTCACCGATATTCTACCGTCGCATGGCGTAGCTGCAAGGCGTTCGGCTCATTAATGGGCCCCCAGCATTCCCCGCCTGTTTTCTGGTAGATACTCCCTTGAGACACATATGAACACCATTAATATTGTACATCTTCACTCCTTCATGTGACTGTATTGGCCTAACGAAGAATTACCGAAAACACGTTTTAGCCAACTTTTCTTTCCAAGTTTAACATGGAAATATTTGCGGAATTTAGAAATTGTTGTATTTTTGATTTCCTCTCGGCGATTAATGAATAATGCGTGGCTATCCGCTGTGTCTGATGGACTTCTGCCCAGATATTCATGCACAAAAGTTTTAGTCTACGCCTATAGACCCTAGAATATACCGACTAACTCAAAGTTGGCGCCACTTGTGAGTTGCGCCGCGTATTAATTTGATGCCGAGCAACATTGAGATGTTGACATTGTGCTATAAGACCTGACATGTAATTTTGTATTCCGACCACATTATTTATGCCCTGAATTCGACTGGCGTCATTTACAACTAGAAGACACAACCAAGGGCTTTTGCTTTAACTCATTATTATTCACCGAAATGGATTACAACCCACCGAAAGGAGGGATGTTAAACAAATTGGAATTTCCAGGTTTATGAGAACCTGCGAAGCATTTGATTTTTTATGGGCTTACGCAGTACTGGTTTTATTACGTCATTTCGATAATAATTTACGTCATGGTTTTGATAAACAATTGCGTTTTGTGAGTGAAATCAGAGTGTACCAAAGTAAGTTGTCTGGTTGCGCTTGCTATTTCCTTAGATAAGGTCTGGTGACTTTAAATTCTGTTCCGATTCTCAACACGTCTTCTATGCATCACTGAGCCCACACTCTTTTTCATTTCTAACTCCTGCTGGCAATTGTCCGGTCTTGGTAGCAATCACGGGGACCATTGACTGGAATTTCAGCCGATGATCCCGTCCACCTTAGCCGTTTGAAACAATTAATATCAAGGACGAATTTTTACCAAGGGATATTCTGCAGGGGAAAAGTTTACATGCTATCAATTCTGCACGAACTTACAAAACTGTTTATTGATTAGACTAAAACTTAAAGACGTAGGGCATCTTGGACCTGGCTATTGCCCCCTCCCCTTAGCTTAGTCTGACCTAGCAGTTAGGATAACTGTATGTATTATCAGGACTTGAGTCGGAATCTCTCTTCTCTTGCGACCACTTTTCGCCCTTTCGCCGACGATGACAGTTTAGATAATTCACACTGTAAAAAACCAATGGAACAGTTTACAAAATCACATCCACTTCCCATTTGCGCATAGGAAGGTACACGCTTCTTCATTTATTAGTAAAATTTGTGTACACAGAAATCAATTTGCATACGTTTAACATTCCATAAAAGCATAAACTGACATATTGTGTGTGCGTAACTGTTATCTTCCGTTCCCTTATTTTCTACAAGTGCATTGGAATCTCGGTGGAGTTTTGCGCCCACATTGTTCGCGCATTTGCAATCAGTACAAAGACGAGCAGAGTGGGACGTTCTCTGGATGCCCTTGATGAAATGGGATCTTCGGTAAGGCCAGAGAGTTGATAGCTTTCCTCTCCACCTTTCGTCTCGGTTATTCACTTAATATTATCCATTTGTTCACCACTGTGTCCGTCTGCTCTTGTACGCCTTTATTGTGCTCCTGAAGGCATTTATTCAAAAAGAAAATTCAACAGAACTTTGTTTAGTCAACGCCGCATTTGCAATTTTTATCTTATTTTGAGTATTTTCCCAAACACTCCCGTTCTTCACTTCGTTTAAAATCTGCAACGATACCAGCAAGGGATCTCCCTTATCGACATATATGTAAACTTGACCATCAAGAAATATGGTCAGATGGTAGTTTAAGACATCTTAGGGTTTACAGTGAAAGTAGCGTTTTAATTGGTCTGACAGTAGTGATTCACGTGAGGAGGTGCCGGATTTACTTGTCCGTCTAAATAATCTATGTGCCAAACGGATATTATAACAGGGCCTAATTGTTAAAAAATGCAGTCAAGTGACGTTGATCAAATTGTACCGAGAATTCCTGCGTCCTATCACTTCAAAAAAATCGAGCAACCGAACTTATAACTGAATTTTAAATTAATTTGCTATATCAGTGTGAAAGACGGTCTGCAATGAGGTTTGTTTAAATCGCATAACTGAGTTCATTTCTTCTCAGTTTAAAAGCATTTCCTGGAGAACAAAGTTGCCTTGGGTCACCACGCCATTAAAACATGGATATCAGAAAATTCACACTTTGTTTAAATCCATACCAGAATCGAATATGTTCGCACTGAACAAGATGATCAGCGAGAATGCAGACTGGGTTTAGATTATCTCAACCGATGCCTTGATTTATCATATGCAATGGCACATTGATATATTTGCCTCCCGGAGCAAACAAGCTCAGAATGGATAACAAAAGTTTCCGAACAAGTAGCCAGCTGTCAGGACGACCATGTTGGTGTTTCTGGCCACAGCCGGCGGTCAAGATTCTAATTAACTGAATAAAATCAGAAGGTACTTAAGGCAGTACTGAATCAATTTACTCTCATTCTATGTAGATGCGTTTTCTGTATGAGCTGTACAATGCTTCATTTATAGCAGTCCGCGTATAAACATGTACTGGAAAAATTTTTGAATAACCCGCGCGGCAACTGTCGAGGAAGCTGGATGTCGTTCGACATACCTCGGGTCTCACCTATGGTTCTGCCGTTTGTATATTAAACTCACACAAATTCAAATTGATATGTCCTACTTACTCACTGCTCTTGCTTTGCAGTAACAAATAATGGATAGTATGCCGACTCGAAATGTGTTGATACCGTCAAATCCAGCTTCAAATTAGTAATATACCGCAATATGGGACACTACTGAGGACATCATAATGCATCTGGTTAGTATTCAACGGCTTTAGGGAAGTCAATATGTCAGTCTCTTGTTCTGCGGACGTGAGGGTGCTTATCTCTCCTTCTTCTTCAATCCGTTGGTTTATTTGACTGTACCACAGAAGTTATCTCTTCTGCTGTGTCCTGTTCTTTGATAAGCACAATTGTCCCATGGCTCTTTCAACTGCCGAACAGAACAAGGAGTGTTTGTTTTATTCTAACAAAACTGAAGCCGCGTCTCGTCGTTCAACACGTTACGCCTTCCAGTATGCATTTTTCTCGAATATATATGCACGCAAATCCATTAAGCACCCCCCCATCTGGCCTTCTCCCACATAATTTCCAGAGGCAAAAATACAAAGCAGTGAATCAAATCCCTGTAATACATGCGGAATTGCCCCAACAGAGATCATAACAATAGCATTAACACTCATCCTGGAATATAACCCAAGGCCACTTGTTTCTCTGGGCGTCCACCCCCCTGTATCCTCCCGTTTCTTCCTTTATGTTACTCGTGTTCGCTGTAATTTGAGCTTATCTAAACTTCCTAGTTATAAGCCTTGCTTTGATGCCTACTTATCTGTTTTAGGTACTGCGAGGAATCACCCTAACGAAATTCGGTGGTATCATCGTTCTCGCCTTCGCAAAGTCTCGGCTATTCCAGATATTTTATTTTCGAATGTACCTCTCGATTGTCCTGTTCGGCGCTTTAATAGGCATAATATTCCTGCCGGTTCAGTTGAGCTATATTGGTAAGAGTAACTTACTTCTGTAATGCCATTATTTCTGCTCCTTCTTGGTTTTCTTTCTACCGGCCTTGACCCTTTCAGTACCTAACTGTCTCACTTCTCCATCTTTCATTCATCCGTCAACTGACTGGCTACCGGCGGGTTTTAAGAATTTGACACTAACTCCTGCAAGGTGTGATGCGCTATGCTTGTCGAAATGCATTGCAAAGTAACCAATAAGGCAGCAGTTTTTGAAGGGAAATTTAGGAAATTGGCAAATCCCACATTAACTCGCTTGAGTGCGTTTCGGAGAGTACATGCTTTCCCTAACGTTTTGAACTATCTGCCATTTGAACTGATCCTACATGTTGATCCTGAGCGCGGACCCAACTTCAGAGGCCAGTTGCTAGACAGCCTACCGGATCGAAGTGAAAGTGCTCGGTTGGCTGCGTTTCCTTGCTTCTCCTTTCTGAAGAAGACCATGCCGGCTGATGAGGTTTAACGCCGTAGAGTAGTTGGTCCGTCGAAGCAACCGCATCACACAGCCAACTTTACTCCCACCCAGGGAGCTCTGGTTGCAGTGGACTTTAGATGATTAGTGTTCAGCTTCAGATATATGACATAACAGACAATTGGCTCCATTCATGCGTATCACCAATATATTTCGTTCATAGTCGACATTACAGCAACATCACGACCAGTTTTGGTGCCCATCAGAACGGTGTAAATTTTTAACGTCCAGAGTTTCCACTGGTCAGCTATTTGAGGGTGAAAATAATCTATTCTCTCCGCGTCAGACACCGATTGTACGCTGCGGTAGAGTTGACATTTGAAAACATTTGTTTGCCCGTTGAATGCTATTCCAGAGACAGGTTGGTTCGTGGTATGCTATGTAGGCGTATTTTCTAACCTTGTAGTGTACATTATAGAATACTTTCTATTGATACCTGCCTCCTACTATATCTTTATTTATTCGGTTTCTGTAATAGGTCCTCCGCTTAACCGAGCTCTTTTATACAAAACAAACCGCGGAGTAGAGGATGATGACGAGGATTCTTTGAAAACAGCGTCTGTAAAGGATACAAATGCCAATGTCTACTGAGACGAAATTTCTTCCTATATCAGTCAACCATAAAAAATTCCTTCTGGCACCTTTACCTTCTTTCTTAATTCTGGTTTCCAATTTTTGAAGCAGAGGCCAAATAAAAGAGAATTGAACCCACTGTGTGCTACAACAAAACACAGAATGTGATCTTTTGAAAAGTCGACGGATTCGGTCGTACGCTAGCGTACCCCCTTTTTCAAACCCGTTCTTTCTCAATGGCTAATTAAGTATGCTTTCGACTTCAAAAGCGCAACCTAATTGGTTGTCCCCAACTGCTGTTATATACAAACCGACAGACTTTCGCATAACAACATCTTATCGTACATCATTGGCCCCATCTTATATGATATACTGGTGACCATATAGGGTTTCTCGCCATATGTCTGCCAAGATTTTGCCTGATTTTTTACTACCTAGACAGCTAAGTGCGCATAATATGGCTGTCGTTTGTCGGGAAGTGCTCTTGTTTACTTTTATAATACATATTTTTTGGTCTCGCCGATGAAGCTCTTTGAATTGCTTTTGAGTGGGGTCGCGGAATACAAATGTTGAGGGTAACTTTCAAAGGTCCGACAGTTTCTACACATGACGGAGTGCCCGAAATAATACAGGTTAGTGTGGGTAATCAGAAGATGGAGTCTGAATGTGATATTGCGGAACATTCCGAATTCTATTATGATACCCAGGTAAACACGGGAGGAGTACGGGAGCACGTTTTCGTCTACACCTCGTTAGGACAGTACAATTATATACGTCCGTGTACAATAGCGAGTCATCAGTAGTACTGACTGCGGAGAGATGTCTGATTTGCTTAAAAGGACCAAACACGATTTATAATGGAGTACTTAAAGGTGTGCGTGTTGGTCTCATAGG